AGTATTAGTGTCATAAAAGATTTACACTTGCTAAGATTTCTGTTTTTTTGGCTTCTTTTTTGATAGGTATTATTTTTTATTATACTTAGTTATCATTATGTACGTTGTTAAATTCTAATAAAATATTGACCCGGAGAATGGACTCGACAAGTATTTTGTCCTACATTTCATAAAACAGTAGGGTCAGTGAGTCCAAAAGATTATTGTATTTTTAATTTTTATGTAAATTTAGATAGTATAACCTACAACAACTGTATCTTCACATAGAACACTGATATGGCGGTGTACTGTTTATTTTCTTTGCGAATGTACCGTTATTACTCGGTATTTAAATATATTCAATATCATAAATGACGGCAATATTAACAAACGACAACAGGATACAGGACCTTAATCGTTTTGATCTAGTATTTCCTATATTGCACTTAACGTCTTAACGACTTAATGTTCTAAACCATGACAAAATAAATTTATGTTGTCGTTATAATCGTGTATGCTTATATATATTTATTTTAGTAATGCTACAAAACAAAATAATATCGAACAATATCTATGGAATACGAGTAGACACGGACAACCGTTGTAATTACCAAAATAATGGCATTTTGATGTTTTTGAAAAAATAAAATGTAAGCAATTACATATTTATATACATATTTATATTTAATCATATTTAAATGAAGTTCATGTACTTAGTCAACATTAGTACCAAGTCTACAGGTATTATAACTATCATTATTTCATCCACATCAATGTCTCATATATTTGAATTTTATGTAAACGGGAGAATAATTGTATTATTATCTAATGAACTATTGAAAAAAAAATGATATAAAAATTATTTGTGTACTGTATTTACATTTATATTTATTTTAACTATTTTTCATCTTCCAACAATTTAATACACGATATTAATGTACAATGCACATATATAAATGGTAAAATTCCTAAACTTAAAAAAAAATGATAAGTAAAAATGTTCGTAGGCCTAGGATTGTTTTTTAATACATATTATTATAATTCATGGCATAAGGTGATAATATGTGTATGCTAATTTTTTATAATGCGAACTTATGCGATAGATATTTAATTTTAAATCTCACCAAATCTGATTCTGTAATTTTAAGTTTTAATATTTTGTTTGTCTTCAATTTATTAATACTCAAACAACAGTATGGTGTATTAATCCAATCCAATACTTTTTACGATATTGTAAACCCTAAATATTAATCGATCGTATTTTATAACTAAAATTTTAATTATTTCAAAAAGTAAGAATATATGTGCTGTCCGTCATCATATTTTTCGTTTTACTAAACTGCATACTGTTTACTTGCATACTGTTATGGCAAGTCGACTACAAAATATCGTTTATTACCTATGATTATGTTATTTATAAAATATGACGATTTGATCAAAATTTCTAAATATCTTAATGTGCTTCTCGAGTATCTTACTCACCCATTGCACGTATATCTTTTCTTGTTCGGGTCTTTTATACTTTTTATGATTATCATTTTTTTTTTATCAACATTGAAACCTTGTTCCATCTCATTTTCGCTTTCTCGATTCGTTTTCTGTCAGTGCAATTAATACATTGAAATATCCATCGAATGGTCAAAATACAAGTAGATTTAATTTTTTTCAAAATTTTAAACAAATTTTAAATCACCAGTTACAATTCTTAAGTTTTAGATTAAAGCTACGTGTCTACTGTTACACTAGTTTTCATCAACAGTAGAAGTCGTACATATACCTTGAGTACGAGTATCGAACTTTGATTCTGTGGAAGAAATAAAAACATGGTCATTTACCGATGGTATGTTGGCTTGGGAGTTCTGAACTTGATGACAATCGTAATACCGAACCGTTTCGAAGACGATTGAATTTGTTAATTTATTAACTAACACTATATAGTAAACTGGTTTTTTCAGCGTTTCCGTAGAGCTGATTTTATTTGGATACGATCTTCAATCCTTTTATCTATGAACGTATACCATTAAAGTAGTATTTTTAATAAATTGTGTTTCTTTGACATGAAGATTTTCATATATTTCAATAGTTCCTATAAAGTCATAATCACAGTTGAAATGGTTTTCAGAATATGTTCAAATACGCAAAGAACTTCGGATAGTTCTGCGTCACAGTCAATGTGTCTACGTTTTTCATTTTTTTATTATCTTGTTGAATAATTTTAATCGAGTTACTCATCAAGCCATTTAAATATAAGTTTAGTAAAACATTATTTTTTTTTGTAGGTTATCAGTTTTAAAAGATTACCAGTTCTCAAATAACATTTGTTTACTATTTCTATTTCATTGACTTGAATTAAAATAATTATTTTAAAAATATCATAAATAGTTATTTTGTAATAATATTCATCAATTTGTAAAATTAAAAAAGTATAATTTACTCGTATAGCTTACCAAACCTTATGGCATTAGCGGAGAATGCGTCCTGCATACAGTTGCACTATATGGTATAATCAACATGATTAGGTTCTAATAAAATAATATGTAATCCAAGGATCTAGAATTTAAATTATATATATCTGTAATGACCAATCAAGTAATTTTACATAACACCAATGGCTTATCTGTGCGAAAGTAGGTTGGGGCGATGGGGGCGCTTCCCCTCATGGGCCGTATAAAATATGTGCATTGTTATTCATAGTTTTTAGTGTTTATTACAATTATTTTGAAATTATTTTTCATAAAGTGGCTAATAATATAATAAATTGATAACCTGATGAAATATAAATGGTTAAATATCTATAGGGGATATTAAAATATTTTTGTTATCTAATGGTCAAACCTGGTCAAAATCTCTGGTGTTATCTTTTCGCTTCGGCGATTTTATAAATGTAGATAGTATCTGCCTTGTACATACTGCTTTTCAATTATTTATGTTCACTATTTATTTATGCTTGTATTGTAGACCAAAACCATGGCTACGTTCAAAAATAGAAAGATGGTAAGTTCCCATACGAAACATAGCAGGTAAACGTATGTAAGGTTACTAAAAAGTTACTACTAGATTTTATTTAATTATTTCTATGTATAAACTATTTGTTTATTTATTTAGGCATTGATTTATGAGTATTAACCATTTTTTATAATTTTTAATTTTAATTTAATTTTTTATTATTTTAAAAAATAAAAAATAAAAGACCACATCACGGTAGAGTGGAGAAGAAGGAATAATAGAGAACTACAAGAAATGTGTAATGAAAATAACATAGTAGAGATGATCAAAAACAGAAGGTTGCGGTGGGCAGGACATGTAATACAGAGCCAGGATTCTATTAAAAATGGAGCTGGAACAGAATCTTGTAGGAAAAAGGCCCTTGGGAAGACCAATATTGAAATGGGAAGATATAGTTAAGAAAAATGTAGAAAACTTAGGAGACGGAGCAAACTGGAAGAATTTGGTGATGAATAGAGACGACTGAAAAATTGGTTGTGAGGCGGGATGGTCCTAGCAGCCGTTTAACCCGAAAGAAAGAATTATTTTAAAATTGTTGTAGCTATGACGTTACATTTTTAAATTATCTTACCCAAAATATCTTTATTGAATTAATAAAATCTACATCAATATTTGATTTGTTCACAACATGATGATTATAGCTGGTTGTTTACAATATATCATTATTTATACAAACGTCACACACCCATCTACTCGCACAAAGACATGTGTTACTTCGAAAACTATTTTAAATAATGGCATTTTAGTGGTTCTTTTCGAGCCTTATTGGTATATATTGTATATATTTATAAATTAAATATTATCTTGTAAGAAGATCATCATAGACCGTTTTGTTGAGTAGCATCTTTGGTATATTTTTTAAAACCATTCCAAATATAATTATAGAATATATAAGAGCTAGGCTTCTATTCCAGATTTCAGTCACGTTTTCAAAGTGTTACAACATTTATTGTATATGATAACTTCCAGAAACTTATTTTAATTTAGACATTTGTATGTAAAGATGTATTGGTCAGGTAGTCAGAAATTGTTTGTTAAGAATATCTAACAATGGTCATTAAATATGTATTCAAGGCCGAAATGTTTCATTATGATGTCATATTGGAATAATAATATACTTATACACGACAACACCTTGTTGTGTGTATATAGCTATATAATATATTGTATATAATAGCTTGCATGTATAAGACTGTTTTCTTAGCATAATTATATGTAAGTTCTATGAATATTTTACATCAAAGTTTTTAACAAATTGACTCCAGTTTCTTTACCGATAGTTAATCTTAATTATTGTTAGTTTATTTGTTATTGTTAAATGTTAAAAATATGCATATAATTTCAGAAATAATTTTATCTTTTTGATGAAGTTAAAAATCATATTATTTATTTATTTCATATAAACGAGCATGTGTCTTTTATTAAATGTATAAGTCGTGTCAACTTAGTTATTTAAATTTGATATAAGATATTATTATTATATTTATTAATTAACTATATATTTTTTTATTTCATTGCGTTTGTGTATTTCTTTTAAAACTAAATTAATGTAAATGTTATTTTGGGTATTTAATATTTCTAAATCTAATTTAATATCCAAATGCACATTATGGTTATTTTCTAAAACATATTTAGCAAAATTTAAATTAAGGGCAGTCTTTTTTAATTTTATTTCAGAAATGTGTTCTTTATATTTTATATAAGAGATTTTTCATGAAGTTTTAAGATCAATTACTTATATACTGAATAAATAATTATTTGTTTCAAAAGTAATTTTTACAATATTAGTATTATTGTTTGAACTTTTAGCGAATTTGTTAGATGTATTATTTTAATATTTCATACTACAATACTTCAAAATATTATTTGATGAATTATGTTTTATTAAATAAAAATAAAAAATAAACGTAAATTATGTAATTTAGAAAAATATATCATGCGAGTGCTAGGGCGTTCGAGAAAAATGTTTTTGACTTCACGAAAAAAAATTCTAGGTCCATATAAAAAAATTTTCCCCGGATCCTGTAAAAATTCCCAACGGCGTTGCATATCGTCTTGTTGAATCTATTGTTGATTAAGTGTAGTATTGCCATGATACTAAACATATTGACTCTTTTATACACAACAGAAAACAGCATAAACGATATTAAAAAAATCATTTTCAATCGCGATAAGTCAACCATCGAAGTTAGTCGTTAGTTAATTCGTCGCTCCGTTATCTACATTCTGCTATCGCCTTTTGTACAATGCCGGTGTCGTCTTCGGGCGGCGGCGACAATCGTCCGCATGATCACAACAGTTCAATTGGAAAAATTAAAAAGCCATCCAATGCCTCCAGATCGCACAACACGGATCAAGATTGGACCGTTAAGACCAGCAAAAAAGCTTCTCAAACTAAAAAGGTATCAAATCCAACTAACCCCATTTCTCCCACTCTACAGCAGATCAATATTAATCCACCAGTTCTAAATATGTCCAGCAGTACATTCAATTACGATATCTCGTTATCTCACTCCTCTAATGACGCGGCCGATAATAATATGAATATAGACTCAACTTTATTGCATTCTACTATTGATCACGCTAATGTTCCTGTTACCATAAATTCAACAAACTTCGCCGATAGTATAAACACAAATATAATTTCCTATTCAAACGTAATGCAATCGTCACGTAATCTCGAACAACTTAATAAACACTTCTCCACGGATTACACTGGTCCGTGCACTACCATTGCTAAACATTTAGATGTCAACCTAAATATTGATCAATGGCATCCGTTAAAATATGCAAAAATCTTTTCTTCAAATTTTGATGGTATAGACAACATCAAACCAATTGGTCACAAAAAAATAAAAATCACCTTCAATACTAAAATGTCTGCAAACAACTTTCTCTCCTCCCCTCTACTCACAAACATCGGATTCACAGCATATATTCCATCTACGCTCCTCTACTCTTTCGGAATAATCAGAGTCGATAGTTCCCTAACCATTCTTCCTATTCCAAACAAACCAATTTTCATGTTCCAAACCAAAATAATTTTTCTCTATCAAATGGGCACTTCTTAGATTATGCTAGTAAAAATCAGCCCCAGGATTCCAATCTTACTCATGCTGATCTAACATGGGTTAACGCCTTCTGCATCAAACTTTCCGAATCCTTATCCAACTCCCCCAAACCCTCCCCCTTATCCCCCTCTTATCTTCAAAATTTAATCGAATCATCCCTCTTGTCTTGTCTCTCTATTCCAAACACCTCCGTTATCTCTTCTAATGATTAATCTTCTTCAATGGAATGTCCGTAGTCTTCCTGTAAGACTCCCTTCTATTCAAAACCTCATTTCCTCCTATAAATGTTCCATAATACTCATTTCTGAGACCTGGTTACTCCCATCCCGCAATTGCTTTATCCTTCACTTTAATTTATTCAGACAAGATCGAACTGACGGTTATGGCGGCGTTGCAATTGCAGCCCACACCTCACTTAATGTTTCTTTAATAGAAATTAATCCCTCTTTAAAACAACTACTTCTAGAAAATAACATTGATTTAATAGGTATAAAAATAGCAAACATTGACGGTTTACCCAACACATCTTTCTGGTCCTGTTACAGTCCAAATGACTCCCTTATTACCCCTGAAGTTTGGCTTTCTCTCTTCCAACTTGCTGAGCACAACTCTTTTTTTACAGGGGACCTTAATGCCCACCACCCTGCTTGGGGCTCCATCACGCCCGCCAGACGAGGTAATTTAATCTACGACGCGTTAAACTCCGTTAATCTTAATATACCGAATAACGGCTCACCTACTCACGTAGGTAGACCCAACTCTACAAATTCGTGCATTGATTTATCTTTAACCACCCCAAATTTATTCTGGCTCTCTACCTGGCGCATCATAGATGACCCCAACGGTAGTGATCATTTACCCATCATTATATCTGTCAATTCAACTGATCCCAATTTCTCACCTAATAACAGACCCACCTTACACAGTGATCTCTCCTCTAACATTAAATTTAATCTCAATAAAGCTGATTGGCCCCTTTTATCTCAACTCATAAACTCTTTAATCCCTTCTCTCAACTCCTACACATGTCCATTAAAAGATTATGAACAATTCACTTATATGATCTTAGATATTTCTAAAAAAACTATTCCTCTCGAACGCAATAACCGCTGTAATGTTCCCCCTCTCCACCGTGGTGGAATATTTCTTGCTCCAAAGCAGTTTCCAATCGCAAATCCTTATATAAAACCTTTATCCGTTCAGGATCCATTCAAGATCATCTCATTTATCGCAATGCCAGTGCTGCAACCACGCGTCTCTTAAAAGAATCCAAAAGGCAAGCTTGGAAACAAGTTTGTATGAATCTCAACCCTCCATCCAATCTACTTGGAACACCGCTAAACGCTTTTGCAATATTATTTTTACTCACCCTCGTCCTCACAATGACAGTTGGTTTGACGATTTCTGCTGTAAAGTAGCACCTGTTACGTCCCTTCGCGATTCGAAGCCTCACATATATCAATTCCGCCTGTTTCCAATTCACTTACCACTCACGTAATCGCCTCGCCTATTACCCTAAGTGAGCTAAACGCGGCGATTGCCTCGCGTAAATCAATTGCTTCTGGTTTAGACAATATTTCCTCCATCATGCTCAAAAATTTGCCTACTAATGCCGTCGAATACCTCCTAAATATTCTCAACAAAATTCTTTTTATCAATAAAATTCCTAACTCGTGGAATGAATTCAAAGTCATACATATTCCCAAAGCCAACGCTACCAATGCATTCAGACCCATCGCCTTGTCCTCAGCGTTATGCATAATTATGGAATTTATTTTTAAAAACCGACTTGACCGACTAACCGGCTCGAACACAATTCTATTCTCTCTGAAAATTTATTTGCCTTCAGAAAAGGAAGAGGCACTCTTGAATGCCTCTCAAATTTTTCGAAAAAAATTTACCAAGCGTTCAATAACAAACATTTTCTACCTGCCGCTTTTATTGACATTCATGGTGCCTTTGATTCAGTCCATATACCAACTCTTCTATCTCATCTTAATTCACTACAACTACCCCCTATATTCATTAACCTTATTTCCCTCTTGTTTTCACATAGAACTTTAAAATTCACATCCCCATACGGTTCCACTAACTTACGCTCCACCTTCACAGGTCTTCCTCAGGGTAGCTGCCTAAGTCCTATTCTTTTTAATTTGTATATGAACTTCATTATAAAACAATTAAATACAGCTGGTCATGAGTATCTAGTTTATGCCGATGATCTGGTCATTTTCTCCAACAATTCAAATCTTGATCTTGTAATAGTATCATTAAACAATTCGCTCGATCTCCTACAAAACCTTCTATCCTCTTCTTTTCTTTCTAAAGCTCCTGAAAAGTGTAAGGCTATGATTTTCACCAGAAGACGCTACCTTCTTTTTTTCTGAAATCACTATAAACGATTTCCCAATTCCAATAGTCTAAAGTATAAAATATTTAGGACTAACACTAGATTCCAAACTCAGTTGCCCCCCCCCACATCTCCTACATCTCACCAAATTTACCTCTCTTTGGGCCAATTTCCTTAGAGCAATCTCCAATACGTGGTGGGGATCACATCCCTCCACGCTCCTTATTATATACAAAGCGGTCATTAGGTCCAAACTTGATTACGGTGGCTTCCTATCAGGTTCTGCTTCTTATTCACATTGGAAAAAAATCAATAATCACCAAAACTCCTGCCTAAAATCAATTATCGGTGCCATTAAATCCACCCCTAATGCGGCCGTCGAGATTGAAACAGTATGCCCCCCTTTCAATATCAAAATCAGATGGTTGGCTGATAAATTTCTTCTAAAATATCTTTCCCTTCGCTATCTTATTATATTTAACTCTTTCCTCGACATCTACTACTCTTGGCGTTATGTTAAAAAATCACTTCCAATTCTTGCATCTACGGCATATTCCTTAACCTAAAGTCGCGACTTTATTATAAATTCCAAAAAATCACCCTTATACGAAACTAACTATTTGTCACTGTCTTACACCCCTAAAGTTCACACTAACTAACATTTTTTTAATGTTTCCTCCAAGTCACTTAAATCTATATAACCTATCATCGCCAACAACCTTTTCTTAGAATATATCCAAAATAATTTCCCCAATTACACCTTAATTTATACTGATGGTTCCGTTTCCTCTCTTTCGTCTGGTTACGCTTTATACATTCCCGATTTACATATCTCCATGTCCAATAATCTACCCCCTTCTGCTTCATCTTTCACAACTGAATGCTTCGCAATTTTAGAAGCCCTATCAACCATTTCTACCCTCCCTTCTAGTAGCTTCCTCATCGTTTCTGACTCCTTTTCAAGCCTTCTCAGCCTCTCCTCCGATTTTTTCCATTCCCGCCCTTCCCCTATTTCCATCAGGATCAGGCAACTCCTATACGAACTTTCTCTTTCAGATGTTATAGTTGAATTTTTTTTGGGTACCTGGCCATTCTGGCATAAAAGGTAATGAAATAGCGGACTCCATTGCAAAATCTAACTCTTCGTTCTGCTGTCCTTCTCCGATTTTAATTTCCTGGACCGATTTTTGCTCCTTACTAAAATCTCGTATTTTTAATTTATGGCACAACCAATGGAACAATCTAGCATCCAATTATGCCCCTTGGTACAAAAATATCTCACCGTCTATACCTTCTCATCCTTGGTTTCACAACCTCAAATTAAATCGTAACATAATTACTTCTTTTTCACGCTTAAGATTTGGACACACTCTTATAAACTTTCTCTCAATGACTCTCCTTTATGCATGCTACACGCTCATGATCCCATGATTTGCGATATCTCACACATACTTTTTCATTGTCCCCAACGCAATAGCCTCTTCGCCCTAATCCACTCTTTTAATGTCCCTCTCGACACCCAATCCATCCTCTCTTCACCAATTATACCAATTATTACCTCACTTATATTCTTCATCAACCAGGCTGGCTTAAAAATTTAATTTATTTGTAATATATCTTCTGTCGTTAACTTTATATACCTTTATGTAATATTTTTGCAAACATAATTGTCGAAACTAATTGTTAACAAAGTTTCCTTTTAATAATAAAAAAAAAAGTCATTTTATTATCAAATAATCACTAAAAGACAAAAGTCAAAAATTCCTTGTCACATAATTAAGTTTTAAACATAATATTTGTAACAATCTCCTTGGTATTTAAAAAAAAAATGTAATTAATTTGTTAAGTTTTTATTCTGAAATTATTATAATAACAAAATGTGATTTTCTTGTGAACATTGATGTTATTGATAACATTTTTAATAAACTATTCAAGCGAAAAAACGAGAAATTAATTAGAAATTAAATATGCTGAACGCATAGCATTGTATAATTTAATAATCATTGTAGTTTACAAGCCATTAGATTCGTAGCAATTGTATCGATTATATTTTTTTAATATATTTTTAATTAGCAAATAATTCAGTTTTATTAAACATTAATTTAAAATAAAAATGTATCAAATTTTATAACTAAAGAAAAATTGATTTTATATGTTCTAAGTTGTTTTCTGAACCATGAGAAATTATCGGAAAAATAAATTTGAAAATAACAATAATTATATTCAATTCTAATAAAGCAAAAATGTTAATTTACAATGTAGCTGATAGCATAAAAAAAAATTGTTATTTGGAGTAGTTGGAATAGGAAAACAAAAATACTATAAATTTAATTTGCACATGGTTGGTAATTTGTTTTATTATTTTATATAATAAAAATATATATAGTATGTGAATTAATTGAAAATGCAATTACCATGACTCAAGATCTCATACAAATATTTGGATGGAGCCTTTTTTTTTAATGTAGTGGACTATCTCTTACGATGAACAAAAAATCAATTAATCAAACGTTTTACAATTTGTCTTCAAAATAATAAAATATACTAATTTTTACCAATTTCTGGTTTTTACTATACACAGGTAATATATATATAAAAGCATATATAACATATATAAAAGCAACCTGTAATATAAAACTGATAAAATAAAAAGTTATACGTAGGTAACACAAAAAAACTGCACCCGGGAAAAGCCGGGTTATTCAGCTAGTATTGCATAAAATATTAACAAAAAGTTGGTTTATTATTGGATTTGCATAAAAAATATAGGAAAACCTAAAATTTTAAAATTTTTTGTCTACTTCATACTATTAATTTTTCTTATTGACGTATTATTTTTCTAAAATATAATTCGGTTAAAACAATCTTGAAATTTGAAAAAAATATATATATATTTTTAATGTTCATTAAAAAAAAAATGTTTAAATCATTGTAAAAAATAAGTCATCACTCATAAATTACATTTTAAAACTACATTCGAATATTTACTCTAGATCATAAGTATTGATATATTGATATATGATAAATTAAATGACTTTCCAATTAATTAATACACATACTGTAAAAAATTCTACTCCAATGCATAAACTTTATTCCATCAACAATTATAAAAATAAATAGAATATCATGAACCCATGTTACTATTTGCCAATAATAACTAATAAGCACACCAAAATTATAATATTCCTATTAATTCTATTTCCGAAGTTTGTTTTTGAGCGTCCTGTGTATCTTTCATCTTTAACCACTGCTCCTTTAATTACTATCATCATCTTCGCTATCTTCAATCCTTATTAATTCTTCTGATATTTCCGTGAGATCCGTTTTCACTATGTCCTCCAATCTTTGTCTTGGTCGACCCCTAGGTCTTAGACCGTTTAGTCTTCCAGTGAAGAGATCATTATCATTAATTAAATATATTGAATGTATCTATATTTAATCAATATTATTATTCTATATACTCCGTGAAAAAATTCTACACACTTCTATTATTATGACCAATATTGGTAAAATTGTAAGTATTTAACAGTATCCTTTGATTTAATTGAACATTTTACCGTTACATTATGTATTCGGATATTATTATTACAGATTACAAATATAAAGGGGTTGTACCATGTATTATAGTATTGTGTCGCTAAAACATATATCAATAGATTTAAAATAAAACCAATTGACCCTTCTCAGGAAATTGTTGGACTAAATAAACTCAGAGTATGATTTATTGTATTATTTTTTTTTAGTTAACTTTCATTGAACATTGTCTTTTTGGAGTTAAATTTCAAAATAAATGAATAAATATAATATTTTAATTTAACGTTTAAACATTTAAAAATTAAATTATGATTAACACAAAATTATTTATTGTTCAATAGGCCATTCAGTTTGATCTACCGAAAGTTTCAACAACGAAGACAGATATGAATTGTTCGTTTACAAAAAAAATGCGTCGAGTAGAATACCTAGAATTAGATGAAGCTAAATTACTTCAAGATCAAGTGAATAGTTATAAGCAAACTCCATGGAAGTATGATAAAGAAGTTTCGTGGTTTACCTCCGAGGTCAGTAGAATTATAAATCTTATGTATCAATATATTTAAATATAATATAATTATATAATTTATATAATATTCATATTATTTAAAACTAAATGATAATTTGTTGTTTTTCTTCTTTTCTTTTTATAGGATGCCAAAATTGAATTGTTTAGTTTGAATATGCAAATGGGTTAGCCTGTTTCTATAATTCGTAACTCAAAATTTTGTGTGAATGAATTTGCAATAATTACAACAATCGAGCAAGATCATTATTTGCTGTTCCAACAGAAGACGCTATCAAGCGAAGAGAGTATACTTATAAGTTTTTAATTTTTGATTCTATGTAAATAAAATTATATTTTAACTTAATATCAAGTATTAATATAATATTAATATTAACTCATTAATATTTAATTTTGTTTTTTCTTATGTATTACAGATATTTTCGGCTTCAAATTCTAAAACAAGCGATCCATGGTCGATTGATTGTTTGTGATGTAACATCGATTTATGCCAATGATTGTATAAACAATAGTAGAAAACAGCTTGACTCTTTAACTTTAATTTTAGAATCATTGAAGAAACTTAAGTCTTCTGACAGTTTTTTGTTTATTGGATATCCATTACTTTCTCAAGTTAATGTTGGTGTTTTCTATGTGCTTGTTAATATGTTCCGTAAGGTATTTATAATTTATGAACCAGAACTTTTAAATTATCTATTGCTATTTTTTCAATATAATTTGTATTAAATTTTAATTTAAATTTTCTTTCAGACCGGAGTGATCAAATCTGTTGAAATGGGCCATGCTTTTGTGTTCTGTTCAAAAATTAATGACAAAAGTATAGATGATTTAATGTACGTTTTGTATAATGTAAAAGAACATATCAAGGATCTCAATATTACAGATATTATGGAAAAGCAAGGCCAATCCTTATTTTCCTTCTTTCCGATCGATAAACTTATGTGTAAGTTTTATTTTTTATTTTGGATAAAACTAATTTATTCAACATGTTTTATTATTTTAAAGCTATAACTTAAATGTTATCTTATGTTTCAGATGAATCCATTTATAAAGACATTGTTGCTGTTAATTGTTTGGACATTATCACTAATTTCTTTATTACTATTTCTTCTTATTTGCAACAAAATTGACCATGAATTTTGTTTTTTGATTATTATTTTATTTTTTATTAATTAATTTATTTTTTTTATTTTTATTAATATTTTTTATTAACATTTTGTTATTATTATTTTTTTTTTTTTTACTTTTTTTTTTTGGTTTTGTATATTTTTTAAAGTTGATATTATACTTATTTTATTAATTATTATTGTTCCATTTGTATAAATTTCAACTTATTCAAATTTATACTTTTTATTGTGTTAAATTCTTTTGAAAAATGATTTATATTGTTAAAGATTGACATTTTTACTTTATGTATAAGCTATTTATTTAATTTTTATATGTATACATACATCATTTTCGTTATTTTTTTATGTTAAGTGTTTATAATGTGATGTACTACAATATTTATATATAATATTTAATATTACATTATATATTTTTAATATTTTTTATAAATCTGTTACTATTTATTTTGTTTGATATAAGATTGCATTCATATGAATGTATAAAACCATTTTATACGACCATATGTTGTGATTGAATATTTCTATATCTATATTAATAATTATATAATCTAAATCTTTTAAATAAGCAGTCACTGACCACTGATTAAATATAATAATTTCCTTCAATACTAATTGTATTATGTAGGGATTTTTAGTTTTGTATTTATTATGTCGGTCTAATTGCCAGGAAAGTATATAGAATGAGCTGGTTGAGGTTCCTTTTGACAGAACTTTAGCCACCCGGTTTATCATAAAGACAACTTTGATATTTTCCCACCAATCGTTTTATACAATATTGTACTGATTACATATGATCTATTATTACATTTTAATCGTAGTTCAAGACCAATGATTATCATAGTTTATAAATTTTATTAGGTACCTATATAAATGATTTATTTATTACACCATATAATACACAATCAGTCGCGGATACAATGAGAGGGGGGCATGGAAACGATGGTTCCCTCAAATGTCACGAAACAAAACGAAAAAAAAATTATAATTTTATATGTCAAGCAATGATATAAATTATATTTTTTCTATAACAACTATGTATTGACATGGTTTCAAAAACCAAAAGAAAATTACGCTTTGCTCTATAATTTTCAATGTACCTACCTATTTTTTTTAAACTTTTAGTTGAAAGTTTATTTTTTCACAGTGTTAAAAAATATTTATCGTAAACGGTAATAGTTATAATATAAAATTATTGAATTTTTTTTTATCATATTATGTTTACAATATAAAATGCCCCCCCCCCACACCAATATTAATTACTATGGGTCCACGACTGTACACATTTAATATGTGTTGTGAAAAAAATACTCTCTTTTTGTAACAAAAATATTTTAATATTATATCATAATGCGAATGAAACTTCGTCACACAATAGAAATATGAAGCAAAAAAATTCGACAAAAATAGTGTCAAAACTAATAACGATATAAGTACCTACTTAGTAAGGTTTCAACTAGGGCTTTGCACCCGAATTAACCCGAACCCGTAATACCCCTAAAAACCCTTGAAAAATCAAACACCCAAAATCCACATAACTATTTTTTTTTTTAAAACATCGGAATTAACCAAAACCCGAATTATTAACCCGAATAATAACGGTTATTAACACCCAAACGTTTGTTTAAGTGTTGTTTTGCAGTGTTTGAACACCCGAAACCCGAAAAAATTATTCGGGTGCAAAGCCTTGGTTTCAACTATGTAAGTAGTACTTACCTAGTTACATAAGACAAATAAAATATATTTTAATATTGATTTTATTATATATATTATCTGTTCCATTTAATAGTGTAGATAGTAGATAATTTAATTAAAAAAAGGTAGTAAAAATGATTGTATCATGTGTTGAAATGCATTATTTCTTGTAAAATTAAAATACTCAAGTATAAAGTATCATAAAAGTTTACTAAAAAAAAAAAAAAA